AGAGAGATGTTTTTAAGTGACTCATGGGACGGTGTATCAGGTTCCAACAGGCTTGTTGGTTTTCAGTGCAGCACAAACAACACAGAATAAATGAATCCCCCGACAGGTTTTGCACGTACGCAGGGAGGTGTCTGTGGTATTTCCGTGCAACCATCTGGTGCTGGTTGCACAAAAATTTGACGCTGTCACTGTGACATCGGCACTGCAGTTAGAGGGCGCAGATGGAGCAGATACCTGCCGCCTTCAGATGGATGCTGAGGGAGTCACCGGTGTGAAGGAGAGAACGGTCTGCCATCGTGGACGACTTTCGCTGGTAAGAATGGCTTTTAAATCTTGATTCTCTGTGGCGTTGATATCGTAATCAAGAAAAAGATGAACGTTTGTCACATGTCAGCATTCTCCAACTCTCTGTCTCTGTCTCTCCCTTTCACTTTCATTTTTTTCTGTCACTACATCTCTTTTTTTCTCATCCTCCCTCACATTGTCGGGCTTAAACAGATTGTCGAGGGTTAAACAGACTCCAGAATCAGTGACTGACTGTACAGTAGAAGTTTGCACATACGGGTCGCTGAGAGTTCATCAGTGGATCATTGAATTAAGGGACATGATTGGGGGGGGGGGGGATGAATAATAATAATAATCGGTTACTTTGCATAAAATACATACTAGGTTTTCATTAGCTGGGTTGACGCTGCATGAGGAGGTTTCTTTACTGTCTGAGGAAAATGTCAGGAAAATCCTTGAAGAGTTGATGTTCACCGGGGAAACCTGCTTCTGAATACGTCAGCTGGTCCTGGAGATGTTTTACTGTAACAGCTAATGTCTAATACAGCTGAGCATAGCCACCACAGACCCGTTATAGAAGGGACCGGAAGCAGGTCATTCATTTCAAAAGACCATGGTCGACAGATACTTATGCGCACACGTCCACTTTTTTTAAAATTTAAATTATTATTGCTGTGCAATAGTCAATGTTTAGATCGGTTTGGTCAAGGTTGCATTCGTAATACTTGAAGTGGCAGAAGCTGGATCTTTCTACCAATCATCCTGATTAGACCTATCTGCTTGCTTGGTAACTAGTTACTGTTGATGCACTCTTAATTGCAGCAGAGTACAGTTGTTACAGATGACTCAATATGCAGTTTTCAGGGATTTCTGTAATTTTCGCTTTTGTTTCGTTTTCTAAATAAGTTGCTCTAGTCACGGCCAAGTTGATCTTCCCATGTCGACCCTGGCAACTGCAAAAGTGTCACCTGGAATACATTACAAGTACTATTGGTTGGAAATCACTTTTTTTTTGTTTGTTTTTTTACCATTTTACTGTTCTGCAACATATTACACAATGTATTCATCAAAACAATAATGTCAATTGTTCCTACTGGTATAATATGATAGGCGAAGCTTGACGTCAGTGAACCACATTGTTGCACTGCGTGTCATGTGATGTAGTTTTTGTGTCAATCCCACACGAGCTGTCCTTCACTCGAGCTGTAAATACAAATTTGAATCTGCATTAATCAGCAACAAATGTCCTTTTTACTTCTGTTTACTGTTTAAAACTACGGTGTCCAGTGGGAATTAGTTAAAGGTCGGGACATCCAAAAGAAACTTTGTTGGTATTTTCATGGTATTTGTCGACTTTAAGGGAAGTAATGCCAGCCTCATCAATTTGGAAGTTGGTCATGAGAAATTCTTTAACGGGAACCAATCCTCTTTTTCTCGAACTTGTAGCAAAAAGTCTGGATGAATAGCAAGCTGTCTGTCAAAAAGGAATTTTAATCTGCCCATTATGTGGCATATACTGGTCTCCAAACGTTACTGTCCGATTGACGACAGCGCTGTCCCTCCGGCCAGAGTTCTCCTGAGAGACTCCAGACTTCTCCATGACGATCCTGAATGACTCTTCTTTTCAAAGCCACAATTATGACCTCCATTTTTCCCTCTAATTATTCTTTTCAGAGCCAATTCTCTCTCTCTCACCCCACTATCTTGCACCAATGTGGCATCTGTGGGCAATTACCATTGCGTTTTCATACAAAGGCTAGCCAACAGAGGAAGCTGTTGTATTGGCGCTCTCAGCGTGAGTTTGCTGGCTGCGTCGGGGGACGGCAGGAAGGAGGGATGGGGGGGGTGGGTGGGTGGATGGCTGCTGAGGAGGTCTATTCATGTCTTCAGGCGAGGCCATACTTGAGTAGACTCTTATTGTGGCGGTGACCTTCCTGTCACCATGCGGCTGACACAAAGTGGCTTCATGCGAGGGTCGGCCGAGCTGCTCTCTTTGATTCTCCTCCTGTCTATCAACGCTTCACTCTGTCTCTCTCTCCGCTTGTGTGGCTCTTTTGCTGTGTGGTTTAATGATTGCTGATTCAATTCTCCTCATATTATCTATCAAACAGCCAGTCATTCTGAAGTGACAGATTTTAATTCACCACAGTGGGGTTAACTGACATTACGAGACAAAGACCCATAAAATACATAGTAAAACCTTAACGAAGAGATTATAACGACATTTACGGCTATATTCAAACGAAAGGAGTGGTTGCATGATCTTTAACTTTTTTGTACGATAATCAGAAGATGTCCATGTACAGTTTCGTCTTAAATCTTTAATGAGAAATGCTTTCCATTTCTTCTTCTGTACTGTGTCCTTGAGAATCTTCCAGTGGATAAATAGACACATAGGCTCTGTAAATACGTATGACGGCTAACCCGTCTCTTAGAAATAACATTAATATACTGCAAAAATTTGGTACATTTCTTTGGACGAGGAAGGGCTAAGTTATTGTGCCACAGGTAAGCTAACGGCAGGTAGTCAGGGGAGATGGTGGTTGGTCAAAGTGAAGGACTTTGGCAGCGGAGACCAGGGTTCGTTTGAGTTCTGTGTGGGTTTTAGGTTCAGGTAACAAAAACACTTTCCCTCTCCTTGTAGCTCTGTTTTGGTCTCCACCAACTCCTGAGGGAAATATGTCTCGTTAGCTGCTAAACGCTCCACTATGTTCTTCAGCTACCTTTGGCAGCTGGGTCAGTCCCATGTTCACCAACATCGTTTCTCTATGACTCATGGGACTACAATGTTCCTTATTCTACAGATGTGGTCAACATCTGGTCGATCAACCGTTTCTGTATTTTGGATAAGAATGGGTTGTTTCAGAGTGATGCCTGTAGTCAACAAACTACAAAAATGTTGCTATACTGTTGACTTGACAGTTATGTTAGACCTCAGTACAAACAATACAAAAAGTTTTAAAAAAGGACTTGTACCTCAATTACATAAACCTCATGATTATAAGTTTAGTTTGCCCTGTTTTCTTACAAAAGTGTTTTGGAGTTCTGGCCTTTTCTTGGATGTTTTGGAGCTCAGTGTGTATTTCTTGGCAGAGCAGCCAGCCAGCAGGTCGTACACAGAGTTCAGCAGCGATGCACTCTTCATTTAAGAGCACTGGTGTGTCTCGTGCAGCGTTCTGTAGGATTGATGGGTAAGTGCTACATCCCATTTGTACTGTATGTGCATGCTCTGGGAGGTCCATTAAATGGGCCAGATTACACACAGACTCTAGATTTTTTTCAGTTTGCAGCTATAATATAATCTATATGGCCTGGTAAGTCCCCACAGGGCAGTTTAGCCTCAGTTACTCGACTACATAGGATGGTCCTTAATGCTGAGAATATAGAACAAAATGCCATAATGATAATGCCAAATAGAGTAAGAAAGCACCAAAATGCTAATATTTTAAAACAGACATTCATTTTTATTCGAGGCAATACACTGCTGTAGAAGGAGAACAAAAGAGACTTGGTTTTAAAGGCTGCATTTGTAACGAGTGTAGTTAGGACCCAGGAGCAGTACGACAACACCAGGACTGGTATGATTTGAGTTCTTTATTTGTAACACACGACAGGCAGAAGATTCTCTGGACGAATCCCACAGGTTTCTCGTGGTCAAGGACAGAAGGGCTGAGTAAGTTACCAGGACAGAGGCGAGGCGAGGCGAGGCAGTCCGGGACAGGCAGGGTCGGCAACAGGGAATCAGTCCATGGGTGAGTGCGGGAAAGTTGAGCATGAATGCAAAGAACGATCTGGCAGTGAGTGTGTCTGAGGCAGGGGTTTAAATAGTGAAAAGGCAGAGTGAGCAGGTGAGAGTGATGAGCTGAAGAGGTGAGTGTGCCTGGCAGGTGCACTGAATGAACTGATTAGGTGAGTGAAAGGTGGATAGAAGTGACAGAGCTGTGACAGCATTACAGTAAAGTGATGCAATTCTCTGAACTTTACAGACTGTTCTAGCTGTTCTATTATTTGCCTTATCCCACTTAAGCAATCAAATCATCAAAAATGTCCTTTTGTGAAAGCACCGATGGTCAACCCCATGATGTATTTCATTTTCTCCATATTGCTCAGCACTACTGTGAAGTAAAAATAGCCTGCAAGTATGAGCCTACTTTCACTCTTTCATTGTGCACTCTGTTAGTGCTGTGTCAGCACAAGGTGTGTCATGCTTGTTGAGGCCGCTCTCGTTTTGATTGAGCAAGATAATGGGTGGGTCAAAAAAAAAAAAAAAAAGACGTGAACAGTACACAGAAACAAAAAAAAAAAATCCTGTCTCTCTCTCTTTCTCTCTCTCTCTCTCTCTCTCTCTCTCTCTCTCTATTGTCCCTCATCTTCCATCACACCATCCTGCAGTCTCTGGCGGCTTCTGTCACCAGCTTCCACTTCATAAGAGACTCGACTAGCGGAAGGGAACCAGACGTGCTGCAGACGTGCTGCGGAGAAAAAAAGACTGCTCCATCCTCTCAAGTCCTCTACCTGGCACAGTAGCTGAGAAACCATTCAACTCTCTCCAGTGGCATGATTGGCAGTCAAATGTGCCATGAGTTGTTGGAACAGTTGGAGTGATGAATAGCAATGCTGGCTTTTTCTTTAGGGAGTTTTGTCCCCCCCATTAAGTCATTCCTGTTGTAAATGCCCTGCAGTTGCCAGTGATTATTTTAAAGAGCTGTTTAAAGATGCTACATTCGATATTTAGAGCATGTCTATTGCCTCCACACCGTTTTCCACTTGACGACGGCCGAGTCAGCGGTTCGCAGCTAACAGTGCAAACAACGACAACGGTGCCGACAGAGCCTGCAGTGATAACCTGGGGGGGAAACCGGAGGGTTGGCGCTAAGCTTCTGCAACGACGCCGTCGGTCGGGACGATGTTATCACATTACTTCTTGTCAAAGTGACAAATAATCAGATAGTTTTGACTAGATTTTTGAGTGGCTTTTATCTCATTGTTTTGGTTTTAAGGCCATAACTTAAGTCATCACCGTTGTTTTAAAATGTGCCTCCCGCACACTCATCTGTCTTTTCCCTCCACACAGTATCATGCTGTTCATTCTCTGCTTTGCTGCAATGGATTTCCTTTTCTTTCGTTTTTCTCGTTGACCTGCCTTTTTTTTCTTCTTCTTCTTTTTCTCCTTGCTCCTTTCATCTTCTCCCAACATGACATAAAAGTTTCCATCCCTCTCCACCTGTTGTTGTATTTTCCTCTTCCCTCTGCCTTGGCACACATCAGGTCATCTGCAGACGAGTGAGGCCTGTGGCCGCAGCTTTTACAGTCATGTTAACGCCGTGGTAGAACATTGGCGACCGTAACGAAAAAGGAGATTTTGAAATGGCACCAGGGTTGACTGTCAACATTTTCTTTATATCAAGCCCTGCAAAGATCATACCACTTCTTTTTTCTTTCATCTCGTCTTCCTGTGCAGGCTGCTTTGCAAGACGTGTGGGTGTGGAGTGAAGTGCCGTGGTTCGTGTCTTGAGTATTATCAGTTTCAAAAGCAGCTTTCCCACACAACCACACGCCAACTATAGAGTAACGGAAACACACGACAGCCTGTGCCAGTCCTTTTATCGTCTCTTAATAAATCAGTTTCACGGGAGACATTTCTCAGAGCGACAAAGATCTGAGACTTTTTGATTATGCCAAACAAAAAGTGGCGGAAGTTTATCTCTGCTTTTGCCTCGGCTTCAAGTTGCCAATTAAATCTCTGCTGCTGACACAGCCGCGTAGTAGAGTGGAGAGAGATGATTGCGCTTAGAGGCAGACAAAGAATGTAGGCCTGACCTCTGACCTGCTCTGATTGTGTGTGTGCTACTGTTTATCTCTGTACAGTTAAGCAGCTTTTTTTTATGCTGTGCTCTTATTCATCAAGGCCAAAGGAGGAGGAAAACACATCTGTCTTAAATCATACGAGCTTCGCATTAAGTTCACCTTTTTAATAGTAAAAAGCATATATTGCAACTAATTATTATTACTTTCATCATCAGTTAATCTGACGATTATTTTCTCGATCAATCAGCCCATCTATAAAACACCAGAAAAACAGTGACAATGTCTCTGATTGTCCGACCAATAGTCGAAAAGATATCCCATATAGCGATAATGTAAGAAAAGGAAAAAGCAGCACACACACTTCCACTCATCCATCCATTACCTCTAACTGCTTATCCTGTTCAGGGTCGCGGGGGGGATGCAATATTTTGCATCATTGTATTGCTTAAAAACACCCATATCGGAACAATATCTCACATTGACGAGATGAGGTCACTGACATTGTAAGCTGGATAGATCAGTCATAGGAAATAAGTGACATGTTGCCTAGAAATGCTGGTACTATAAAAACAAACAATATTTTGCAGGCTTAGGACGGATGCGTTGACAATACTGTACAACCGGTCTGACCTCCATGATCACAGCACTCATGTCGATCATGCTGCAGCAGGCAGAGGTGAATAAGGGGAAATGGGATGCAGCTTACTTTACAGGACTGTGAGGTGTTTCCTATCTGGTTGGACACATGCTGCAGCACGATCGCAGATCTAATCTTTCTGCATCTGGTTTCTAGTACTTTGGTAAGAAAGAGACGTTAGCAACTCGCACAAACTACTCATCTTTCCGAAGTGCTATACCAGTAGTGTCAGAGCAGCATCGAATAGCAGACGGCGTATTTTTTGTGAGCTTGCAGGTTTTGGTAAACGCTTTCGATGTCGCATTTAAACGTCAACAAACAATCACAAATGTCAGCGTCAATGAGAAGACTTGGAGCTCCTGCAACGCCACCAGATTGCATTTGAATTTCTACTGTTTTATGGCACAGCAGGAGATTGCGTTACGGAACGGGGCGAGGGCGCTGGTTTTCTAGAAAAGTGGAGTTACTTACACCATCTCCATAGCAGATGGTGTAAGGATTGAAAGGCAGACGAACCAAAAAAAACCCACTTGAATGAAAGTGAATGAGGAAACCAAGTGTCACGAGGGAGCGTCGAGGGCACACAAAGCTTCAAAGGCCTTTTTGTGAAGGGACTTCGTTTTTAAGAAACACAAGCAGTGACAAAGATACTCGCTTCTACAAAATACTACATTTATTTTTTTATGCATTCCTTATACCTTGGTTTCACCTTTGTTGGTATGTTTAAGAGAATGTTACGCACACAGTAGCTTCAAGCAGCTGCTTCCTGTACGTGTGGTTTTGTCGTTTGTGCGTGTAGGATGGTGGGACACGTGTTGGCGTGCCTCAGTGAGTCAAAGGCGTATGATTGACTAATGAACTCACTCTCGCTCTTAATCTGCGGTAACGGGATGAAAGACATGACACCACGAGACAATCAAAGCGGTCTTTAGACAGATGGCTTCCACTCATCGAGATCCTCGGTGTGAGTCCGCCAAAACCTTTCAACTACAGATGGATGGCAGCGTTTGGAATCAGGAACCAGCGTTGCATCGTGTATCATCACATGAAGGAATTTGCTTTTCCGATATGATAACAGGAAACTGTTGGTATGTATGATAACAAATTATGATAATGTCGAGTCACGAAAGCCTCAGGAAGTCAAGAAGTCAAAGTGGAATTTGGATGAGATATCGGTCGGTTAAGAGATTAGTGCTCCTCTGTTTTCTCTTGTCGATGCCATTTATCATTTATTGCTTTTCTCACCGAGATTTGCCACAACGGACATACCGCTCATGTTGTGGCAGTTGTTTTATCATTTATTGTTATTATTGTTTATCTGTACAGCTCACACACACACACACACACACACACACACACACACACACACAGACCACACTACAGTATAACTCTGCAAACAGAACGGAACACGTACTGTGTTATGACTGTAACATCTGGCGCAGATGAGAGCCCAGAGCATACATGGGTCCTATGGGGGGGTTGGAGGGTAAAACACACGGCATAACTCACCCTTAATCTATGTGACCTACTCGTGCTTAGTTACATCACAGCACACAGGATGATGGAGAAAAAAAAAATGCAGATGTACATTTTTTTTTAGAGGCTTCCAGCGGCAGGGTTATGTGGGAACTGTGGAACAGATGAATGCATCATTTTCGGAAGCTTTTGATTAATATCCGGATGCCCCAAATGAGTTTCTGTAATAAATTTAAACCTCAGAGGAAAATAAAAACAATCCCCTAACAACATGACATATTTGTCCCTTCATATCCTTTATTGCAAAGCATCACAGTGCACAATAGCATGCTACATGCAGGGTGCTTACCAATGTGCAGTTCAAGACATCAGCTTTCACCTGGAGCTGGACATTTTTGGCCAGTTCCCATGGCCACAACTTCCGAAAGCAGCGTCCTGCAAAAAAAAACCTGCATGAACCCTAAAGTTAGAATGGACCCAGTGGTGTTGTTGGGCAGGTTATAGTGCCTGTTTGAGCAGAGCAAACGCCGGCGTGATGAAGTTCAAACCTACCTGAGCATTATCCTGCTGCTCGGTCCCCAACCAATTAACTCGGAAGTGCTCTGGTAATTGACAGTTTTACAGCGCCTTCGTCTTGGAAGACATAAAAAAAAAAAAAAGAAGACGACTCTTCCCCCACTGCAGCATTCACCTCCCAAATAAAAATAAATATCAGTCTGGACCTTTAAACAGAGACTGCACAAATGAAGCCAGAGTAGGCGAGGTTATTGTGATTTATTCTGGCTCATATAGAGCCAAGATCGGCTTTTCAGTAATGAGCAGATTTTGGTAGCCGTTGTTGCTTGATGCTAATATGCAGGTGAGAATCTGATTTGACTAAATAGCTTCAGACAGAGCAATCTGTAATAGCTGCAGGTGTCACCAGAATTCTGTTGGTGTATGTTGTTTAGGTGTTAATAGTATTCAATTCATTTCAATTGAATTACAACAATGAGTGGATTTGAATGAAAAAGTTGCACTACCCTGCAAAAACTCTTTAAGATTTGTGAAACCATAATTCTGGCAGTATATTAAATCAGCATTTATAAAGAAATGAAAGTCAGAAAAAAAATATAACTGACTCTAAGGTGGAGCCGGAACACGAGAAAGAGAAAGAGAAAGAAGAGAGAGAGAGAGAGAGAGAGAGAGAGAGAGAGAGAGAGAGGGAGGTTCAGAGAATGAAAGGAGACGGAGCAGAGATTACGTTTTGGACTGCTTCATATAAAGACCCATTCATCCATCCGCTGAATATTAAAGCGTGTTTACATGCAGTCGCAGTGAGTCTCCTTGCCACAGTGACTGGGGGCCTCGGCATCAAAGACCAGAGTCAGGGAGCGGTGTCGGGACAAGTCTTGCTTGGGTGCCAAGGGGATGCCTTCCTTTCATTCGGTCTTGGCATGTCAGGAAATGTCTCCCCCCCCTCAAAAGTAAAAAAAGATCCAATTACGCCGCTGTTACTGCTACAATCCCCTATGGGCACGTGAGGTTGCAGCGCTGCACACAAGGCAGTTTCCTGTGATACTTCTCAAAAGGTAACAGCCATCGCTTGGCATTATTGGCGGTGTGATTTTCGAATCCTTGTCAATCTCAAACTAAGTAAAATAAAAATAAAAAGACATTGCTTAACGTTAAAGCCCAGCAGTTGACACCCAATCAGGCGATGACTTTCACTTCTTCCGCTTTGAAAATGAATAACTTCCTGCTGTGTTCCGATGACACCGTCGCAGCGATACCGCCGTCCAATCAGGGGCCAGTATGAGCCTCTGCGGCCTGACAGCAGGAGCGTTGTCATGTGGTGTACAGCGCGGGGATTACAGCCCCCTAATCTGCCTGTCATGAAAACCCAACTAGAGAAAAAAAAGAGAGAGATCATGATGCTGGATGTAGGATGTTGGAATCAAGATGAGAACCCCACGGCATCTTCTTCTTTAGCCGAATGGAGAATTGCAAAAAAAAACCTTGGCGTGTGAGGCTGAAGCGAAGGCTGTCAAGTGAGTGTTTACTGTGTAGACCGTATGCTTGTGAGCGGGTGTGCAGGTTTGCATGTGTATCATGCTGCATTGTGTGAGCACATCTGCGTCTCCGCTGCTGTCAGTGTGTACATCAACACACACTGGGTATCACCACCGCGGAATGGGCAAAGGATGTTCCTGATTGTCCTGCTGAGGGTTTCTGTTTGCAGGGGTGTGTTTATCCTCTGTGACCGTAAGAGAACGCACTGACTTCCACATGTGACCACAGAGACCAAAACACACACCGACACGGACAGCTGAGAGGCAAACGGACTCAAAGTCCCTTTGTGTCTTTTACCGTCGGTCTACGTGTGTGTATAAAAACTATATATTAACATGTCTCCCAAAAATGACAATTGAGGAGAATAATTTAGCATTTTTCTATTCAAAAGGTATTTGTTTACTCAGGGCTCACAGTTTAAAGCTACTTTGCAATGTTTACCATGTTCGCCATCTTAGCTTAGCGCGTTAGCATGCTAAGATTTGATAATTAGCTCCAAACTCAAAGCACAGCTGATGGGAATGTCATGAGTTTAACACGTATTCTATCATGTATACGACAATGATGTTTGTGCTAGAGGAAGAGCTAAGGGATCACCAAAGTCATTGGGATACATTCATGAAGTTAAGTAAGGTGATCCAGTACGAAACTCTACATCTAAATTCCCAGAGTCAAATCCGTCGTAGAAGAGAGAAATACAAAAATCCCCACCCCCGGTAACCGCAGTAGATCAGTATGTCATGAACAAGCCATGATGTGTTTGACAGCGTCGTTGTGCTCTTTGCTGTGCGCTACTATTATATTTGTCCAAACACACACAATTCCCTGAGAGCTACAAGTTCACGCCTGTTCCGCAGGCATTGCTGCACGGCTTCCTGGGAAATGTAGGAGATGTAGGCGATACACAAGAAAAGACAACGATATAATTTAGTGCAAAATAGGCGCCGAGACTGATTGTATTGTACAAGTGAGATTTTTCAAGAAAGTAGTGCAACTGTGATTCTGTCAACCCGTTCTGTCCGTATCGAGAAGTCGTCCAGCTGCCTCTGTGTTGAATATCTTTCATCTGTTGTTGGACTCGGCTGATGCCAGATGTTTGAGTATCGGCTCCAGCACCGCGTTTGACAGAGGAGATTATTGTTCGGCTGATGGCTTTATGGAAAGAGAGGGGAGAGCCTGTAATTTTCACCCAGAGCAATGAATGACAGAATGATTCATAGCTGAGGTCTACAGGAGCTCCTGGTTGGTGGTCGGTCATTACGTCTCACCAGAGCCCCATGCAGATGTCCTATTATCCGGTAATCGTTTCTCCACTCCACTACTCAATGACTTCCCCTTGGACCGTGCACTATAGCCAGGCTAGAGGAATACTAATGTTTTCTCTAGCTGAGCTGCAGCACAGACACATTTATTCACAGTAAATCTAATTTGAAAAAAGAAAACTGTGAATGGCGGAACCACAAGACCAAGCGTGTGAGAAGAAGACACGCTATAAAACTACCAATCAAGGCTTTTATTCACCTCAACGGGCCTTAACTAGAGCCAGACCATTATCCCTTTTGTCTGGTCCATGATACCTGCTTTGACTTCAATAAACGGAATTTAAGATTTTCATTATTTGACCTGTCGCTGAAATTGACAGCCGATATTAGCTTATTGCAGGTATATTGTATGAGCTATATGTTGGCTGGTTATTAAGAGTAAACTGTAGTACAGACCAAATATGAGATTAGATATATTTAAGGTAATTGAGAAATACTGTCACAACTCATTAATAACCAAATTGAAGGCATTTGTATTGAAAATGTTTCTTTATGATGTGTGTTCCTGTAAAACAAATAATAATGGCCACTACATCTTTATCAGATTATCTCAAATATGGATATATTGTTATTGGTTTCAGAATTGAGTATTGGTCAGGCTATATGGATAATAATAATAATCCATATCCATGACTGCAGCATTTCTTCTTAAAATAAACTGCAATCTTTATCGGATTTGTAACCCCAACCAAACTCATTGTCTAAGATAGTGTTACCTTTGTCGAAAAACATTGATTTATAAATCTTCCCGTTACAACTGCGACAAAATCGATATAGTCATAACCTAGAGATATGCTGGCTTATGCGTAAACGACCCATTGTACCAAAAATAACCAAGAATTTCAAGTGGTAAATTTGTCACCATTTTCATTGTCAGCTGCATTATGTGCTGTGTGAGAACGGAGATGATGGTCAATTGGCCTTTGTTTTGGAGGGGTGGCGAATTCCGCCCCAGCACTTTTAGCTCAATGAGCTGTTCAGTGCATAATAACGTGTTGTTGTTCCTATAGTGTGTGGCACCAGTGGCACAGTGAGCCACAGGAAGGTGCTGAGGCTCTGAGTTCGTGCTTCACCTGACCAGCTCAGCAGCTTCACAATACACAACCCCACGGGAAAAGGAATGATTATTGTTTGTGTTGGCACTTCATATTAAAAGTGGCCACTGAAAACTGCCTCATCTGCACTGGTCGGCTCACCAGCTTTTACAGAGATGGAGAGATGTCTCGTTTATACTTCGGCTGAAACGGTTAAGCAGGAAAACCCCTTAACTCTCCAAATACCTTCTGTGTGTGTGTGTAAGAAGACAACCCTGCCTTTGAAAATCCTGACGCCATCTTGTGGCGTTGAAGCTGCACTTCAGACCTTCCAAACCAATACTCAAATGACCTGCACCAAAGAGGCTCTAGTTGTGCAATCAGTCAGTGCGTGGTGCTTCTAAGACAGTAGCAAGCAGAGGAATGCTAAAGTTGTGAGTTTAAGCGTCACCTGGAGCAGAGAAGATTTAACCTGAGCTGTCAATCACATGAATACTCGGCTACATGCTGATCAACTATGTGAGAACTTGTCATTGTTAAGGGGAGACCAAATTAATATAACGCTTATACATGTTCATTTTGCCCGTTTCCTACATAGCTGCTTGATTCTTGTTGTCATGTCAGAGCATCGGTTAGTTCTAAATAAAGAAATATGTTTCATATATTGTAATGAGTATCTTTCCTATGAGAAGGCCATCTTGTGCTGTTGAAGACTCACTGCTGCTCTTCTGAAACACCACTAGATCGTCCAATTTAGTCCAGCTGTGGCCTGCATCACCTGACACCATGCTGCCTTCAACTATAGTCAGGCTAAGGGTCAAGGTGACGGGATAGAGTTAGTGCACTTGACTCTTCTCACAATGTCCTTTGACGAAGCTCCAGTGGCGCAATCGGTCAGCGCGTGGTACTTATAAGACAGTATTCAGCAGAGTGATGCCGAGGATGTGAGTTCGAGCCTCACCTGGAGCACAGAAGTTTTAACCTGGACATCAGTCACAGGAGATACTCTGAACATGATGACACTCCACATGACTGACTTTCCGCATTCAGACTTTGTCATTGTTGAGGAAAACCAAACATATATCAGTGCACATGTGATGCTCATTACACTCATTGAGCACACCTGCGTTAATGATAAGCTTTAGGAGAATGACATGCTCAGGTGTAAATAAAGATGTATGTTTTATATATTGTAATGAGTACCTGCTAGACAGGTACACAGGAGAATGACAATGCATTAAGGAAAAATAGTCGACACACAGCAGCTTATTGTAGGAATAAATACTGCAGTCATGGATATGGATGTAATCGAGTAGTAGCATCCCTTTCTGTTCCGTCTGTCTCTGTTTATTGAGGCCATATGTGCGAGTGTCTCAGTATAAAAAGAGAGCCTTTGCTATGACAAGGCCATCTTGTGCTGTTGAAGACTCACTGCTGCTCTTCTGAAACACCACTATATCGTCCAATTTAGTCCAGCTGTGGCCTGCATCACCTGACACCATGCTGCCTTCAACTATAGTCAGGCTAAGGGTCAAGGTGACGGGATAGAGTTAGTGCACTTGACTGTTCTCACAATCTCCATTGATGAGGCTCCAGTGGCGCAATCGGTCAGCGCGCGGTACTTATAAGACAGTATTCAGCAGAGTGATGCCGAGGATGTGAGTTCGAGCCTCACCTGGAGCATGGAAGTTTTAATCCGGACGTCAGTCACAGGAGATACTCTGAACATGATGACTTTCCGTATTCAGACTTTGTCATTGTTGACAAAAACCAAACATATATCAGTGCACATGTGATGCTCATTACACTCATTGAGCACAATGATAAGCTTTGGGAGAATGACATGCTCAGGTGTAAATGAAGATGTTTTTATATTGTAATGTGTACCTGCTCTAGCAGGTACACAGGAGAATGACAATGCATTAAAGAAAAATAGTCGACACATTAACAGCAGCTTATTGTAGGAAGAAATACTGCAGTCATGGATATGGATGTAATCGAGTAGTAGCATCCCTTTCTGTTCCGTCTGTCTCTGTTTATTGAGGCCATATGTGCGAGTGTCTCAGTATAAGAAGAGAGCCTTTGCTATAACAAGGCCATCTTGTGCTGTTGAAGACTCGCTGCTGCCCTTCTGAAACACCACTAGATCGTCCAATTTAGTCCAGCTGTGGCCTGCATCACCTCAGGAGCACCTGACACCATGCTGCCTTCAACTATAGTCAGGCTAAGGGTCAAGGTGACGGGATAGAGTTAGTGCATGTTGGGCGCAGCATGAGGTGCTACAAGCCGCACCTTGACTGTTCTCACAATCTCCATTGATGAGGCTCCAGTGGCGCAATCGGTCAGCGCGTGGTACTTATAAGACAGTATTCAGCAGAGTGATGCCGAGGATGTGAGTTCGAGCCTCACCTGGAGCACAGAAGTTTTAACCTGGACATCAGTCACAGGAGATACTCTGAACATGATGACACTCCACATGATTGACTTTCCGCATTCAGACTTTGTCATTGTTGAGGAAAACCAAACATATATCAGTGCACATGTTATGCTCATTACCCTCATTGAGCACACCTGCGTTAATGATAAGCTTTAGGCGAATGACATCCTCAGGTGTAAATGAAGATGTATGTTTCATGTATTGTAATGAGTATCTTTCCTATGACAAGGCCATCTTGTGCTGTTGAAGACTCACTGCTGCCCTTCTGAAACACCACTAGATCGTCCAATTTGGTCCAGCTGTGGCCTGCATCACCTCAGGAGCACCTGACACCATGCTGCCGAGGATGTGAGTTCGAGCCTCACCTGGTGCGCGGAAGTTTTAATCTGTTTTAACCAAACAGTCCCCCAGATGTCAGTTTACATGTGATGCTCATTACACTCATTGAACTGTAGGTAAAGCTTAATGTTAAATAAAGGCAGGTGTCAGAAATCAGAAATACTGATATATATATATATATATATTAATGACGACAACAAAAAATGACTTACCCCAGCTTTAATGCTTGTATGTGAGGAGCTGTTCAGCGCATGATAACGTGTTGTTGTTCCTTTAGTGTGTGGCACCAGTGACACAGTGAGCAGCAGGAAGGTGCTGAGGCTCTGAGTTCGTGCTTCACCTGACCAGCTCAGCAGCTTCACAATACACAACCCCACGGGAAAAGGAATGATTATTGTTTGTGTTGGCACTTCATATTAAAAATGGCCACTGAAAACTGCCTCATCTGCACTGGTCGGCTCACCAGCTTTTACAAAGATGGACAGATGTCTCGTTTATACTTCCGCTGAAACAGTTTAGCAGGAAGATCCCTTAACTCATCAGCAAGTAACAGCATCCCTCAGTTCTGTCTGTCTCTCTCTGTTCATTGAGGCCCTATGTGTGTGTGTGTGTGTGTGTGTCAGAAGACAACCCTGATTTTGAGAATCCTGACGCCATCTTGTGGTGTTGAAGCTGCACTTGTGCACTAAATTTCCATCAAACAAGGCTCCAGTGGCGCAATCGGTCAGCGCTCGGTACTTATATGACAGTTCACCAAGTAATGCCGAGGTTGTGAGTTCAAGCCTCACCTGGAGCACAGATGTTTTAACCTAAACTCTCCATCACAGGAGATAGTCTGTGACACATGCTGACCATCTGTGGGAGATTATTATAGATTAATCATTCTGCTAAATCCACATTCATCAGCTCATGCTGTGAAACACCACCGAGACCTGCGACACTGATGCAGGTTATTTAGAGAAGATGCTGAGAACGACAGCAGACTAGTGGCTTTAAACATTCGGGTTAAGCAGTTTGTTTATTCGGGCATTTTGCCTCCACACTGGATCCCTCTGAGCCCACAACGGGGAGATGTGGATTACAGTCTGTCCACTGTCTGTAATTACTCAACAAAGCTGGTCAGTTTTTGGCTTTTGATGGTTGCTTTCGCCTGTCATGTGTCTGTGACCGTATTTTGACTGTGTGCGCGTGTTGCTCTACAAACCCAATTATTTTGTTTGTGCTTTCTAGCTGGCAGGCGTAGGGGTGGGGGAGGCCTAGCGAGCATGGCTGAGCCGGGATGCAGGAACAGCAGCCTGCAGAGGAAAAAGCCGCCATGGCTCAAACTGGACATTCCCACCATCCGGCTGACACCGGACGACACGCCCACACTCACCCAGGTAAAAACAAGTCGGAACAGTAGCTCTGCATTTAGAGTAGTAGTTTAGACGAGTAGAGGAGACTACTCCGCCAAATTTGAGGTGTAAATTTGAGGTTTTTATTATAAAAGTTAATTCTCAGACACTTTAGTTTGACATAACATCAAATCCACACAACTTGGCACAGAGGGCATCATCGATCTGTGTGTGTGTTTTGTCTGTGTGTTGCAGCCGGTAAGACGGCTGCGCAGTGTCAGCATGCCAGGCGAAAACCCTCAGACGTGCATCGCTGCCTTGGAAACTTCCAACAACTACCTCAGACCTCCTCTGGAGAGATTGCCTTCCTTCACACAGTCTATGAAGAGGTTAGACACACACACACACACACACACACACACGCACACTCTTCTTTCCTCTCTGCTCACTTCCTCTGGCTGCTAATTTCTTATGGCTTCAGCCTGTCCTATACTTTCTTCTCCACTAATAAATCTTTAACGAAACTAATTTAAGCTGCAGCCTCCTTTCTGATTTAACACAAATTAATCTTGCTCTCTTTTCTTCTCTCTTGTCCTCCTTTTTCTCTCATGTTGCTTTCTTCTTCCTTCGTTCTTTGGCTTCCCCCCCCCCACTGCCTCCCTGTCCTCCTCTCCACACACTGCAATGTGCATGAAGTGGGAAAAGGGTGCGCTTTGAGCGGGTCAACACAGTTCCCCCAAAGGGCCAGAGGGAGCCCAGGAGGGAGTCAACCGCCCGAAGGCGGTCCTGCATCCCCAAGATACTGACCCGACGGCGTTCATCTATACCCAAACAGATCATCAGGTACAGGACAAGGTGGAGCAGGGAGGGACAGAGCTGATGACAGCAGTTTAAAGGTGTCCGGTTTTGGCACTGAAGTTTCTATTTAAAACAGTATATTGGACGGCAATATTGACCAAATGCTTTGAGGCAGACTGAGTGCTGTGCCGGTCATTTAAACCCACAGTACTTTCATTTAAATTCTAGTAAAGAGCCAAAAGTTTCCAAAGAAATGAATGTGAGCTTTATTTTTGAGAATGTGTGTATGATAATATACAAGCAATACAAGCATACAATATACAAACAATCTAGAATAGTTTGATTTGATGGAAGGAATGGTGCACTCATAAGTAATAATTAATATTTCAGTATAACCATCATACTGCTTAAATAACATTGTAAATGTACTTAAGCACTTTGATGGTTTTATTGACTGAGTTTTGCACAAAAATCCCATTAGCCCCTCTTTGTGCCACAGATGTAAGGCCGTGAACAAAGTCTATGACACATAAGCTCTCACACACACACACACACCCACACAAACACGGTGTATCAGTATCAGTCCAGGTGGCACACAGGACCACATGGTTTGAGGCAAACAAAATAACACAATTACTCATACAGGCTATCTGTGCGCCTCACGCAGCATGTTGGCCACATCAAAGCGCTAAATTGAATGCAAATGTTTGAACACGGGGGCCAAGACTAAAACCTAGATACACTGTGTTCAAAGGAGCGTCTTAATGTCTCAACTTTATCATGCCAAGGTTTACTAGCCGTGTGTGTGAGAGTGTGAGAGAGACACTGAATTAATGCGTTTCATGTTTATGAGAGAATTAATGGGATTTAGAGAAAGTTTGCGTGTGTGTGCGGAGGTTAGCGGAGGTACCTCGTCCTCAAAAGATTGCACAAATACCAGATAAATCATTACTCTTCAAACATGTTATGTCAGTGGGGGATTTGCTGCAAACGTTTGCTTGTAGAGTAACTAGGACACCCTGAGGTTTGTTGATCCGGCAGACAAGAGGAGAAAAAGCTCTTTATGAGTAATTATCATTTTAAGGAGCCATTCATTTTCACAGTTAATCATTTATCTCAATCACACTGATGCTCGTAATGATAGGTGTTTAAACTTAAGCGTGTCCCTCGCTTCATTTGGCGTCTTTTAAGTGCTGACACAAATATATCGCTGCAAAGCAAAGGTGGGGTTCAAGCTAAACCCTTTGCGGTGCTGCTGCTCTGGCGTATGAGTGTGTATGTTTGCGTGTGTCATGTTCAGGCATGTCCCAGTGCCCTCCCTCCGTCTCTCCTCCCTCCTAGTATGTGTGATGTCCCGTCCTTCTTCTCTCTCCCTCCTTCTAATCTTCCATTTCCTGTGGAGTGCTGGTGTGGAACTGGTGTTTAGACACACTCCTGCGAAACAAGGCAGAGAAAAGAGAGAGGACGGCCTCACTGATAGTGATCGTTTGGGCTCTGAATGCAGGGGGGGGGGGGGGGGGGGAGGAAGGAAGTATTCAGCTTGACAAGGACCAGAGCCGCTGTCTTCTCTGCCCAGTAGGTCACATCCTTTTAACGCGAACCCTCGAGGAGGGATACTGGGAGGCCCGCCAGCCTACTGACACATTCGCACACTCTCTCGCACACACACAAGACATGTTGTGGTGTGCGCTGGGGACACAAGGTCTGACAATCCAAGATCCTCCCGCTCATCAGTGCGCTGAGTGAGCGAGCCCAGCTGGTGGAAAACTGGAAGTCCTCTTTAGGGCGCTCATCGTATAGGGATCAGATTCCCGTCTGACTGAGGAGATCAACGCAAGCTTTTCCTCTAACCTTTGATTGACCGGGAGCTCACTGGGCCAGGGACGGGGATGTTACCCAGAGTCTGGACATGTGGTGATCATCCTCTCTTTGCGTAACAGCGAGTGTTACAAGGTACTGCTGGCCTGAATATTAGGAAATCCCCTCATGGAACATTATATGTGTGATCCCTGGAGGATCAGTTTGCATTCAGCGGATCAGGGTTTAATGCGGGTCTAAGGGTAAGTGAGGACAGTATGTTAGGGATGCTGGCGATGGAGGATATGCAGCTCCACAGTCCCTGCCCCCCTCAGGTATGACCCAGACCCCAAACCCCTCCTGGAGCTCTCTGGACAGGTGAGTGTGCGGCGCTTTGAGGCACTTTGGCTTGTGGATGTAAATGTTGAACAAAGCCCCTGTTGATGTAGTTAATTTATTGTGGAGGGATTAAGGTTTTCTTAAAATAAAGTATATGATTTAGCTGAGACTGGCAGCTCATAATCTAATAGCTTTTAGTCTTATGTTTTAAGTTTTACTGAACTGTAATAACTGTGATGTCTTTTTTATGAGTCTGGAAGGTAGTATTTGGATAATTAGGAATAGTTTGACATTTCAGGAATATGAGAGTTAAATGAGAAGAATGACACTGCTGAACATGAACAAAACAGCAGTACCACAGTGTACAAATACCCTAAAAGTAAAAGTCCCGCATTTAAAATGTCGCCAAAGTAAAGCTACATGTTAGCATTCGCAGTATTAGCAGCAAAATGTACCTTAAATAATCACAAGCAGCCCTTGGCCCCTATCATTGCTACATTCTACTGTGTATTTCTGTATATGTTATAAGTGTTGGAGCTGGTCAAGGTGGATGTCATTTTGACTACCTCATATATTGGTAGTGATAGGATAATAGATAAAAATTCATATTGTTTTGCATTAATTTTGTTGTGTTATACCTGAAACCGCAAAGTAATAGGAATTATAGCCATTAGGTAAATTAAGTTAGCCTCTGAAATTAAACTGGAGTTGAAGTATAAAGATGCGTTTGGAAGTTCATCAAATTTGTTTTTAACGATAGTTCTTCAATAAATGTTGTTAGTAGCGTTCCACCATTGTCTAAAAACATACTACAGTGTTTCATTAAAATGATACAGATGGTATTGGGATTTATCGAATCCGAAAACTTAATAACTATCATCAACGTTCATATTTATCCTTATAAGTTTTACCCCTTGGCCTTTTCCCCCTGATGAAATGAATGCTGTCTAAGCCTATAATTACGCTACAGTAGATCGCTGCTTCATTTGCACCAGCCCTACCTTGAGGATATACAAGCTAATTGATGTGGCTTGACATTACATTTAATCTTTGATGGGTGACGGATTTGTGCTGTCGTCAGCCAGTCGTGAATTCTTTATTTATGGTTTTTGTGTGGGTGAATAAGACATGCACGCTTGTCGGTGCATGTGCGCACAAAGACAAATACCTGCTTATCTAAACAAACACACACAAACAAATGTCAGAGAGTTTGCGTCGCGTTTTAACGTCAGTAGTGGATGTTCAGTTCATCTTGATTGCTATCTGTATTTTACAAAGGTTCTATTTTCATATTTCTCTCCAGTCAGAGGCCCAGTCTGACTTCAATCTTTCTAAAACATTCCTCTCAGGGAGGACAACAATCAGGGCGGCGCCACCCCCTCCCTGCCCCTGTGCAGCCTTAAAAGGCTTCCCCAGCTGGCGTCTTTCTCGACGATGAGGGCTGAGTGTTTATTACAGAGTGTTCTGCTCTCCAAACAGTTTCCCCTATGTGGCCTCCCCCCTCTCTGTCGGTTAAAAAGCAGCCTGTCACGCAGGCACTGTTTCACGGGGGGAACACATGAAATGAGAAGCCACAATCAGTTCATGAACTGCAGGACTGTCAGGCAACATCTGCTTCTTCAGCGCCGACTGAGCGGAAAGCAGTCGTGTGAGAATCAAGACAGTATTCAGGCTCTCTAAGCTGGACGGGCAGCGTCCATGTAATCAAACATGCACACGTACACAAAGAGAGAGAAAGATTGAAAGAAATGCTAAAAGGGAGCTGAATCAATGACGATTTGTCCGTCTGATATGTTGCACAAGAGACCCTGGATTAAGAAGCTGACCTGCCGCCGTTGATGGCGGCCCAAGTTTAACTTGATTTGTCATCCAATCACTCGACTGTCATCCACAATAAAGTTTAAGATTAATTTGGTAGATCTGCCCCACGTAGTCCCCAAGTAGCTCAAACTATTTTTTTATTAACCATATTAAACTGTGCATTTTGGCTATATATTTATAGTGTTCAAGGTTCCAAAGAAAAAGTGTAAGGTCTCACATCTGAAGATGCTCTGTCTCTTCATCATTACAGACAAGAAAGCAATCAACAAATGAACCAATTAAGCCGTCAATTAATCCCCAACAACCAGCTGCAATCAATCAAGTAATCATCATATTGTTCCGCTACTCAGGAGGGATGTACGGCTCAATCTGTCGAAGAATACTTAGTGTGTGTGTGTGTGTGTGTGTGTGTGTGTGTCAGGATTCTCTGAAGGCGAAAACAGAAATTGTAGAAAAATATGAAAGTTCATCTCAGCCCGTTGTCATGATTTACAGAAGTAACTAGCGGCAGTGTTGTTGCCTTGGAGCAGTAAAATGGTACGACATTATTTTATTCTTTAATACCTGAGTTGTATAAAAGAGCTCCAGTGAAAGTCAGAAGTTTGTTTAATTTCCCACTTGCCATTCCTACATCAGAATATTCACGTTTCACTCATTTGCTAACCACAATCCCTCCTCTCCCCAGGGGTACGGCTGACTGGTTTGGCGTGAGCAAAGACAGCGACAGCACCCAGCGATGGAGGAGGAAGAGCCTGCAGCACTGCAGCCACCTGTACGGGGGTCTGAAGCCGCAGGTGATGAGGGAGATGGAGCTACACAGCCAGGACAACATCTCCCTGGCCAGCACTGAGACCCCTCCTCCCCTCTACCTCCCCCCCCACCACCACTATGGCATGCAGAGGGTAGGGCAGCGTAGGGCAGCGCCGGGGGCCCGCTAGAGGCACAGAGGACGAGATGGGACAATCATTCACCTTTTCTGCCTCACTCTTTCACTTTAAGTTTTTACGTCACATTAGATCTTCGGCGCTTGCTTTACCTCTTTGCTTTGCAATCTTGCCTTGGGTTCAGTTGATGGCTTTTTCACACATTAAGAGATTTTTAGAGTGCAGATGTTTTTATATATTTAAATTCCCAACAATAGGCATTAACAACTACTGTTGCACTGGTAGTATTAATAATGACTTCTGCAATCTGATTAAAGCAACTAGAAACTTTCATTTAGTGTCTTAAAAAAAGCTTCTTTCCATAACCTGGAACATCAATCTAACCCTAGTTTAGATGTGTGTTATCCCTGCTTTTCATTTTTACGTCGCTGTGTGTCTATTGTTGTTCGTGGCTTTTGACAATAGGAGTGTAAAAAAAACACACTGTGGTGAACCAACACAGTGTGTGTGTGTGTGCAGATCGTAGACCCCCTGGCTCGGGGCCGTGCCTTCCGCATGGTGGAAGAGGTGGATGGCTTCAGTGTCCCGCAAACTCCCATCACGCCAGGCACCGCCTCCCTCTGCTCCTTTTCCAGCTCCCGCTCCGCCCTCAACTGGTTGCCGCGACGACGCAAACGGGAGTCTGTCGCGGTCATGAGTCTCAAGGCCGCTGCAGCTTTGATGAAGGTGTTTGTTCATTCTTTCTTCATGCAGTAGTTTTGCCCCCGAATAGTCTGTGCTTTGCAAAATCTGTGCTTGGCACTTTTCAAAACTACCTTTAGCTCTTGTTGTTCTGAAATGAAGATTACTTCTATTTTTCATGTGTATTTTTGCACATTGGGACCAGCTATACCTGAGCAATACATACCGTTATAGGCAAACAGCAGTAGATTACTTTCTTTAGTCTCAAACAGACCGTGAGATTGATCTCAGTAACAAGCCTCGCACAGTGAGGGTATCTGAGGGTTTCTGGGTCTCACTAACAGATGGTCCAGAACATCATTGCACATCAGTCGATGTTATTGACAGCAATGATGTGTGTGTGGGTGTGATTCTGTTTCGTCAGGGCCGGACATTCGCTGACAGCACTGCCGGGCGATGTCGCCGGAGGAGTTTCATGCCCCCTAGTTTCCTTGAAGAGGACACCGTAGACTTCACTGATGATCTGGACACTTCCTTCTTCACCAGAGTGAGCAGCGGACACACTTCCACACAATGCCAGGATAACATTCAAATTAACAATAATTGCAAGTAATCATCCACACTTTTGCTTGAAGCAATCAATGAGGAGCCATTCTGGGTTTTTTAGAGGCAAAACACAATATATATTCTATTTTTTATGTATTGTCTCTTGCCGTTTCAGGATCCATTGCACTGACTTGGTTTTTATCTTTGCAGGACGGTCTGCAGGATGAGTTGTACAGCTATGCAGACGAAGTTTTCGAGACACCGTCGGAGGCCGACCTCAAAGAGCTGGATGAGAGCGAGCTCACAGGGAGTGCGCTGGATAAGAACGAACTGGAGAGGAGTCACCTCATGCTGTGGGTTTCTATTTTTACGGTTTTATTTACATGCACACATTACCTGTGGCATGCTGCAGGGGAGACAAACTCCACTTTGCCTCTTCCTCATTCCAGGCCCTTGGAGAGAGGATGGCGAAAGGCAAAAGATGGCTCTCTGGTCCAAGCTAAGGTGCGTCTGAAACAGGAAGTGGTGAGCCTCAGCAGCAATCAGCAGCGGGGACAAAGGATCGTGGTTCCCGTTAAGAAGCTGTTTGCCAGAGAGAAGAGGCCCTACGGGCTCGGCATGGTCGGCCGTCTCACAAACCGGACGTACCGCAAGCGCATTGACAGCTTTGTCAAGAGGCAGATTGAGGACATGGGCGATCACAGGTAAGACAGCTGGTTCCATCGTTCCGTGAGAGGATGACTGTCCTCTGATGTGAAATGAAATGGAGTTGTTGCCGATGTCACCAGATAATGGAGAGCCTGAACTGTCCTCCTGTCCTCCCATAGGCCTTTTTTCACTTACTGGATCACATGTGTCCATTTGCTCATCACCATTCTGGCTGTCACCATCTACGGCATTGCCCCTGTGGGCTTCTCACAACATGAAACCGTCGACTCTGTAAGGATATTTTACAGCCTTTATTATGATTCGATCGCTATACTGTCTGTGAATAAATGTCTTGAATTTCCACTGGAAATCTATGAATGAGCAATATTCATAAGACGGTACTGTTTTTTTTTTCTTCTTTTTTCAAGGTGTTGAGAAACAAGGGAGTTTATGAAAACGTTAAGTTTGTGCAACAACAAAACTTCTGGGTGGGTCCAAGCTCAGTAAGTTTGTTTGTCTTCTTTTTTTCTGATTGCGCTTCACTCAGCTCTTAAGTGTGGTGGTCGACATGGGAAAAGCTCCAGTCTATTAAGCTCAAATTCTTTAGATCTCTGATCCTGCCAGTGGTACTTAACATGGGGTGCTTTTGCAGTTTCAAGGGGCAGAGTAGCTCAAGATCCACAACTTCACCGGGCTGTAATGTCACCCCTGCAGGAGGCGCTCATCCACCTGGGAGCCAAGTTTTCCCCGTGCATGCGTCAAGACCCAGAAATCCAGAAACTGATCCAGGAGAAGAGAGCGAGAGAGAGGGAGTCGGGCTGCTGCGTGAGGAACGATCGCTCCGGCTGCCTGCAGACGTTACAAGAGGAGTGTTCGGTCAGTGAAACCAAACACAGGCATTTCACTCATATTACATCATGTCACTCTGTCTATTGCATGTACTGGATTTAAGATGTACCAAATTGATTTCGAGATTGATTTAGATATAAAGTAAACGAAACTTTACAGGTGTGTAGGTGACATCAAAATTAAGGTCGAGTTCGAAGATGGGTGGGGTCCGAGCAAGGGGGGTGGAAGTAGGAGGGTAGAAAGTGGGAAAGGGGCCTTTGGTCCGATTTGGCGCCGTGGCTCATGTGATCCCATCACAAGATGGTCTCTGTTGTTAGCAATGATTTCTCTCCCTCTGTCTGTCTGCTCGTCCTCTGCTGCAGAGCACCCTGGCAGTGTTTGTGAAGTGGCCTCAGCACCCCAGTGCTCCCTATCTGAATGGTACACTCCGCCAACATGGTGCAGTCTGCCATCAGGACCCCAGGTAACTCCACCAAAAGCCTTTATGATCCTCGTGTGTTCACAGAGTACACATTTAGTCACCGCTGTCGCAGGGGTCATTGTTCAGCCAGCTGACTGTCATGTAAATACCGAACAGAACACTGTTATTAATTCCTCTTTAACTTTTGCTCTTGATTTTGTAGAATTTGTCTGGAACCAGCCTCAGTTTCACCTCACGAGTGGCCGGATGACATCTCCAGGTGGCCGGTGAGTCCGTTCACATGTTAACAGTTCAAGCATCTAAGTTCATCATTTCCTTGTTAGCCATTGTCTTAAGAGCAAAAGTGAGTAAAAGAGTTTCACACACTGAGGTCTGAATGCAGAACTTTCTTCTACGCACACATGACGACTCGATGGCTAGATTTAATGTCTCCCGTGCTCGTGATCTGTAGGTTTGTACGCGGTACAACTCTGGGAATCACACCAACCTCCCCCACATTGACTGCACCATCACAGGCCGGCCCTGCTGCATCGGAACCAAAGGACGGTGAGGAGCAACATCACCGAACGCCACACGAGTACCACTAGCATACATTTTCTAAATCACCAGTAATTTAGTATTAAAGCTGCTGCATATGTGTCCGTATTAATTATCTTCAAAGTGGGCTATTTTCATACTTAAATGTTAAATATTTAGGATTAGTAGTTCCTTAAAAACGGCGTCGCTTATTGACTCATCGCTCTCTTAAATAATATAGAAAATCTAAAGCATGTTGGACCTTTTTAACTAACTAGATCATGTTAACTTCAGAAGAATAGGACATGAGAACGCTGTATGTAGAAAGTATAGTTTCATTGCAGGATCAAAGCTGTTTTTGGATCAGATTCAATTGAAAATTAAAACACGGACGTATTCATCTACTTTTAACATCCTGAAACTTGGCCATTTCTTTCTGCGAGTGATTGCTGATGAAGCTAATGTTTCATGTTGTAGATGTGAAATCACTTCAAGAGAGTATTGTGACTTCATGCACGGCTACTTCCACGAGGAGGCTACCCTCTGCTCACAGGTAGGACGAACAGATGTTCATTTCATATCCTCAGGTCAGTGTGACTGATCACCAACTCTACAACAGCTGCTATATTTGCTATGAGCAAAGGCTTTTACATCCCAGCCACGATATAAAAGGGATTCTGATCTGTTACAGACATTTGAAACACATGCTCCAGGTGAGGCTCGAACTCACAACCTCGGCATTGCTCTGCAGGTTACTGTCTTATAAGTACCACGCGCTGACCGATTGCGCCACTGGAGCCTATGAAATACATGATTTGAAAGCAGTTTGGAGTTAATTCGACCCTCATATTCCTCCACAGGGCAGCAATGGATCTTCGGGCTGACTGATGGCACTTTCAGTCCTGACTGTTCTTTTCACTCTCTCTTCCAGGTGGCGTGCATGGATGATGTGTGTGGTTTGCTGCCTTTCCTCAACCCGGAGATTCCAGACCAGTTCTCCCGACTCTGGCTGTCTCTCTTTCTTCATGCTGGGTAACTGAACTTTTAAATTTGTTTGCACATATCACAATAGGCCTCAGGATTCAAAGGTCAGAGGTGCTCTTTAAGAGTGAAATAGAACTGCTTTATCAGTTAAACCAGTGAATTGTAAGATGTTGGTGGTTTTAGTCTGTCTCGTCTGTGTCTGTAGGATCCTGCACTGCCTGGTGTCAGTGTTTTTCCAGATGACGGTGTTGAGGGACATTGAGAAGCTGGCTGGCTGGCTGAGGATCTCCATCATCTACATGCTCAGCGGCATCACTGGCAACCTGGCCTCGGCCATCTTCCTGCCCTACAGGGCGGAGGTACAGTGTCTCCCTCACAACCTAATGTCAACAAGCTGCTGCATCTGAGACCACTTTGAGTTTAAAAAAGAAAAAGCTTTGTCAAAGACCTGTTTCCTCTCTCTCTCAGGTGGGTCCTGCAGGCAGCCAGTTTGGCATCCTGGCCTGTCTGTTTGTGGAGCTGTTTCAGAGCTGGCAGATCCTCGAGCGACCGTGGCGAGCTTTCGCCAAGCTGCTGGCCATCTCAGTCTTCTTCTTCTCCTTCGGTTTGCTTCCATGGATCGACAACTTTGCCCACATCTGCGGATTTGTCTCAGGATTCTTCCTGTCCTTCGCCTTCCTGCCGTACATCAGGTAGATGAAGAGAGATCTCAAAGAATTAGTCGATGGGAAATGAATGGCACTGTTATATTTGTGCGGTAAATATGAAGTTAGAGCCTGCAGCCGGTTAGCCTTTAGACTGGGAGCAGTAGGAAACAGCTAGCCTGGCTCCTTCCAAAGAAGGAACCATTAGTCTACATTTCTATGAGTCTTGCCTGAGGTTTCAAAAGTCCTGGATGAGCTTGCCACTCTCTTAGTTAATGTTACTGGATTTTGTTGTCTCAGTTCTTTTACTTTGCGCAATGACAATGAAGGTGAATCTAATCAGATGTGTTTAATGGGACTTTTGACTCCATTCTGAGACGAATAACGCAGGTTTCTTCTCTTCAGCTTTGGGCAAACTGACATGTACCGGAAGCGGGTCCAGATCTGCGTCTTCCTGCTGGTCTTCATCGGTCTGCTCTCCACCCTGGCCGTCCTCTTCTACGTCTACCCTGTGAAGTGTGACTGGTGCGAGTTCCTGACCTGCATCCCGATCACGGACAAGTTCTGCGAGAAGTACGACCTGAACGCTCACCTCCTCTGAACATCAGCCCGAGAGGTAAATGTCAGCTGGACTGTTTCTGGACGTGCGCTGACGTTGGACGGGTCTCAACGTCTCTTAACTGCTGGATGTTGATGAGGTTGAAAGCTGGATGTTGAGCTGCAGGTGCAAATTGCGACACTTCTCCTGGAATAACGAGCAGGCCTTTCTGGATGTCACATGGATGTATTTGTTTCACTGCTTGGAAAGGTGCAGCAGACCCATCATGAACAAAGGCTATGCACGAAAGCCTTCACACGCATGGGAACAAAACTATCAGTGTGAAGTTGACTGAAAAGGACTAACGATTGATTCCATGTGTCGTTGATCTCTAGCTGGGCTAATCAATGACCAGTCACACTGGAAGAGAGCTACAAAGACAAGTATTTCCTGCCAAATTATTTACCTCTCTGGACTAAACAACACCGCTTAGTGGCCAAAAGGAACAGTACAACTTGACACAGCTGCAAAGGATGAGCAGAGGATTTTTGTTTTGTACTTTTTTACTGATGCCCAAACAGTGTTGTCCATTTACTGGATGTGCTTCGATTTGAAACTTAGCCAAGAAATGAGACTATAAAAGGTGCCTTATAGACACAAAACCACACACATGATGTCTTTTTGTGCCACGTATCAGATTGTGTCAGCAGTCACACAATCTGACCAAACTATGACTATATGTTTTTACTTCAGTATTTGGTGGCTGAATTGGCACTTGTTTTTTACCACACTGGAAACTTTAGTTTCCACCACAGCCTTTAACACATTTCAATCACGAATGGATTGTTGTTGTTTTTTTATACTCACCGTGTGTTACATCCCTAAATAACTCACTTGTGTGTTGTTAATCTGCTCCATTGTGAATAGATGATACTGAGGTGAATTTGTGTTTTTAAAGGTGGTGGCGTTTTAGCTACCTGACAATAAACACAACAAGATAAAGTGTCAAGCTCTTTTTTTTCATGACTGCGCCGACATTCAGTTAAAGTTCAACTTTGCTGCTCCAGGTGAGGCTCGAACTCACAACCTCGGCATTACTCTGCAGAATACTGTCTTATAAGTACCGCGCGCTGACCGATTGCGCCACCGGAGCCTGCAAACCCACAGTCATCTGCCATAATGGAACCCTACAAAGCATCAGGTCAACATCTGTTCAGGAAGCAGAGACAGCAGCTGGGAGTCTTCCACATGTCAGGACCTGCTGCCGGGTGCTTACGCAGTTTGCACCTGGATGCCAGTAGGCGTTGCTGTTGCTGTGACTAACGCAGGAGGTGGCATCAGTTCGTCACCAGTCATGGCAGCTGTTTTATTATATCGCTTTTTTGGTCAGTTACTGGTTGCCTAGTGTTGGGAGATAACAGCCATAGAGATGTCTGCCTTCTCTCTAATATATTGGAACTAGATGGCACTGGTCTCGTGGTGCTCAGAGCAGCAGAAGAATACATGAGAGAATATCACCAGCAATGTCTCTTTTACACAGATAACATGACCCGGTTAATCTAGATAATCCCCGCCCCTTATTGTGAGCAGTTTAATGTAGGGACTCATTTTCTTCTACAGAACTGCACCCACCAACCTTATCACAGCACAGAAAGAAGCGTGCATCTCCTCATGGACGAGAGAGAAAGGTCTTTGGATTGTCTTTAGTAACCTGGTCATTATTTCTGTAAAGAGACATTGCTGTTGATTTGAGAATCACAAGCCTAGAGCCATTTAGTCCCGTTATATCGGAGAGAAGGCAGAGAGCTCTACGGCCGATATCTCCAACACAGATTGATAAATAGCACTCCAGGTAAGTGGAAAAATATACTTTTGATTTTGGGCTGAACTGTCCCTTTAATCTCTGTTAGAACATTATAACATAATTTTAACTCTCATGCTAATCCTTAGGTTTGCTGAAATGTCAAATTAAGTCCTATTTAGAATGACTATACAACCATGTAAAATATGGAGGCACCGGTACCGTAATAGCGCGAACAGACACGCATCAAAAATTCAAACAGCAGTTGGTTACCTGAGCACTGAAATGCTGTCGGACCGTGTCGCGTGTCGCCTCCTGGGCTCCGTAGTTTTACCCAACAGTAGTTTATTAATTCAGAGTAACTCTCTGAAGAACACATCTGTTTACTGCGACAGACTGATAGTCACGATATTGCCATGAGCTGGTAAGTCCTGATAACTACACTGCTTCTTCGAATGGCTAAATGACTCAAACAAAAAACAAAGACTACAGGCCCGGGCCTCTTTAAGCTCTCTGCCAAAATTTCACAATGAAACCATGTATCCTACTGAACATACTTACTCATGTCATTCGGTTTACAGAACAGGTTACTTTGTATTATTCAGGAGATTAGAACCAAACTGTTTCTCATGCATTGGGGAAAATAGTCTGTTGATATAAACAAAAGTTACAAACTTATTGTCTCATAAAGAATAACTATAGAGCAGAACTTTATGTGAAGTATAACTTAAACAAAAGACAAAGATCTTTATGTACAGAGTTATGCTCAGGAACATTACCATTCGCCCCGGAGAGATTTCATTTTTAATTTTTTTTGGTGTCTTACAAACCCATGAGGGTTGGACACGTTATGTGCATGACACCACAATAAAGATATCAATCTATCTTTCTACTCTGCTGTAGCATTTGTAAGCACTGTGGACAGCAGTACCAACTACCGCTATTAAACTAGCAATGTACATAACTGCGAATGTCACTCTGCCCCTGCCTCTCTTCCATGACCTGAGGATTCAGTTCAAACAAAGACAAGAAAAAAGGAAGCAGGCTCGTTGTGTATCGTGGTTGCCCACTAGATGGCAACCCAGCACCAATAACTCTCAGGTTGGACACGACTGCTGCTGATTGGCGGCATAAAGCTTGAATTACTGCGACATTGCTGGGCCTTTCTTTTGGGATCCGAGAGTCATTAATTCAAGCAGGAGGTTTATTAGCGTGCAGAACTCTTGTCGGTGCTCCCTGTGCGCCGTGCCACCGCTCATTCTGCGCTTCTCTCCCTTTTTCCTCTTTGTGCACAGGCACACACACACACACGTGCACGCACACATGATTGCTCTGGCATTCATTAAGTCTCGTCTGTAATTGAGTCTAGATAAGTCGGTACTTATGTTGGAGAGGAGCTCTGAGAGCACAAAGACAGACAATACTGATCTGCATGGAAGATACAACAGCAGAACTTATCTTATTTGCACTTAGTGCTGCATAAAGTTGTCATTTATTAATTGTCTAATCTCTTCAAAAGGCCATACTTGCCCCCTTCCTTCTACACGGCGAGGTCAGAGGTCAGATACACTCAAAATATTTAATGAGAATACAGTAATTAAAGAAACACTGCAGAGAGAGAGAGTGATGGAGACCTTTGCCACGGCCAGCCAGTGTTATCGATTGTCAAACCTATTTGACATTTTGCTCATGGGGTTATTTGAGGGCAGAGGGAATTTCTTTGCGGTGACCTTTTTTTTTTATGAAGTCTTGTCAATCGTGTGTGCTGAAGCCTGCGCTGACATTTTACTGACCGAGGTGACAAATCAAGAAGAGAAACGATTTTTTTTTCAGGAAAAGTTTGACATTGTGGGAAACACACTTATTGACTTTCTTTCGGAGAGTTCAATGAGAGGATCATCAATCTGCTCTGCTGTAACAGCCCAGTTTACCCCATCTATTTAAAGATTACCAGTTACTTTGTAGGTTGAATGAGTACTAGATTAGATAAACTGATATACTAGCTTTACATTATAAGTTTGAATGTCATAGATTTTGCAAAAGTGAACTGCAGCCACTGAGCCGTGGCCTGTAAGGGCCCGCTGGGGACGATGTGTTTGACTCGGTCCTGTTGAGCCCTGAAGCCCCTCCCCTGCTACTGCACAGAGCGCTATTGCTTTTTTATTCAAAGTGTATTAATATCGAATGTGTTGCGTCTCCAAATTGCACCAACTTCGACATGGCATGTCCTTGGGTGACCATCAATACACTAGCCAACATCGGAGCAGCCACGCAGCCCGTGTGAGCGATGCACATTGGCTCTGTGAGATTCAAGATCTCGCCAGTGTTGCCGGATCAGATTGACAGTTTCCAGCCCAATCACAACTTAAAACTAGTCTAATTCTAAAAAACCTCAACCAGAAACATGTTAAAACTGTAAAACCATTACATGTGCAATATCAAACACCTCATGAGCATATACAAACCTTAATATCTGCACCAAATAACCAAAGATGAAATGTTAGATGACAAAAATATAGCAACCCAGAGAGCAGTCAAACAACTGAATACACAAATTCCCATGTCAACGATGACAATGACTTCCAAGAACAATTTTTTAAATCTTTTAACAGTATATTCACATCATACCAGTAACATTACTACAGTTTCAATGTCTATATCTGTAGAATATGTCACAGATTGAAAAAGTAAGTATGTACTTTTACTTATTACTCAACACTTCCTGTTTCCATTTCAAAATGAATGTTTTTCCTGTGGACAGAATCCTTTCATTGGTTAACGTAAGGCTTTTATTTTGAAATATTTGTACAGTGTTATGGAAAATGAGTTGCACAGCTCCATGCATTATTGAAGTACCGGCTTTTAACTGATGATTATTATTATTATTTACAAAGTGAGCACACGCTTCCTAACCCTCTTCTGTATAAATAACATTATGACAAGCAAACTCTAGGTAAAGAAGGGCTGGCAGTAGCAGAGTTGTGGACACCACACACATGTAAGCCCCTGCAGTTAAGCGAGGGAGCTGTCACGCGTTGCGCAGGCAGGCAGTGTGGCCCAGGTGTTACAAAAGCACTAATAGCAATTTTAGCATTTATTTGGAGTTGTGTGTCTAGCAACCTGATGAATGTAAGTCCAATATTCCCTCTCTGTAAGCTCTGTGTTTGGTCTCCACCAGCTCCAGACGGAAATGTCGCCCCGATCCGTTCCAGCTGCTCGATCCGTTCTGCGCATGTGCGGGACCGCCTACCCAGAATGCCTGGGGGGGAAGACCCGGCCCTACTCTGCTCTACTCTGATTTCCAATATTGGCAATATTACAAAAAAAAAGAGGGATAATCGAGAATATTTTTGCTGAAAATGTTACAAGAGCAGTGAGAGTGAACCAAAACAGTAAACTTGCTACAATGCTCTGCACAGCTGAGAGAATCTGCACTCAGGTGATAATCCTCTGTGGGTTTTGTCACTTTGCACCGACCCTTTCGCATCATCATTTGATATAGTGTTCCAATAGAAATATCACTCATAGCAGCGTTAAGCAAGATCTATATGTTATAGATTACACATACAGCACTATGTGATCTAATATTCTCTGGCGCCCTCCTCTTTTCTTTGTCACCATAAAAGCTGCTGGAGCAGTTAATAGTGACAAATTAATGACCCTGCCAACATACAGACCCTGACAAATCATCTCAGGACTTCTTATTCTGTCATCTACTGGGTGCTCGGCCTAATAGAGGCAGCACGCGAAGCCATTAGACCCCCTCCCCCCACTCACAGCCACCCCCATCCCCTGCAGCCTCCTCATAGGAAATTATCTCTCCCCTCCAATCCCACCTTCCACCCCCCTCCCACACACACACACGCACTTACACACACGCACACGCACACACACACACACACAC